ATGATCCACCCACCTCAGCCTCCCAAAGTAATAACACCTGGCTGGGTATTACATCTATAAAACACCTGTTATAAAACACGTGGCTGGGTGGCTTACAGGTGTTTTATATATTTAACACCCAGCCAGGTATTATTTTTACTTGTCTTAAAGGATGATCTGCTAGGTTTGGGGTAGTGGCCTATAAACCAGGAATTCACTGATTCAGCATTTTGGACGTTTACAATGTGCCAGGCGTGGCTCCGGGCACTGAAATACACCAGGGAACAAAATGAAGTCCCCACCCTCATGCACCAGAGTGCAAACAGGGGAGTGCCCAGAAACAAGGGGCATAGGGCAGTGGCACATGCCTGTAATTCCAGCACTTTGGGGGGCCGAGGCAAGAGGATCGTTGGAGGCAAAGAAGTTCAACACCAGCCTGGGCAACATAACAAGACCCCATTTCTACAAAATATAAAAAACGAGCTGAGCATGGTGGTGTGCACCTGTGGTCCCAGCTACTCAGGAGGCTGAGGTGGGCTTGAGCCCAGGAGTTGGAGGCTGCAGTGAGCCATGACTGCACCCCTGCACTCCAGCCTGGGCAACAGAGTGAGACCTGTCTCCAAAAAGAAAGGAGAGAGAGAGAAAGAGGTGAAGGAGGAGAAAGAGAGAGAAAGGGAAGAGGTGGGGGGGGAAGGGGGACTGTGCGTGCGGCTTCAATCCCTGCCACCTGGGTTGAGCTGCCGCTCAAACGCTGAGGAATGAATGCGCCTGAGCGGGCAGGAGGGAAATCGAGGATAGCTGGATCCTTTTACGGCCAGGTGATGGCGCCAGAGAGCACAGGATCCGGTCCCCGCGGGCCCTGCCGCCCTCGCTCCCCCGCCCCCGGCCCCATCCCCCCAACCCGCTCCCCACCTTCATGCGGCTGTAGACGGTGGAGACGGGCGTGACCGGGTGGTGCTGGTGGGAGCCCAGCAGGCCGCAGAGGCCGCAGATGAGCTCCTGGTCCTTCTCGCAGAAGAGGCTGAGCGGGTTCCGGTGGTGCACGCAGACCTTGGGCTCCGGGTCCCCAGGGAGCCTGAGGGCTTCGATCACCCGGGCCAGGGAGACGTTGGGCGGGGAGCTGCTGCCGTCCACCGCCTGCCGGCACACGGGGCAGCGCAGCTCGGCGTCCAGGTGGCAGGACAGGGAGACCAGGCAGCTCTTGCAGTAGGAGTGACCGCACTGCAGCATCAGGGGATCCTTGAAGACCTCCAGGCAGATGGGACACTGAAGCCGGTCCTCCAGCTCGGGCAGGCTCACCTGCCAAGCCATCTACACTGCCCGGGCTGAAACACAGGCTTCGGTCCTCAGTCCTGTCCCCTCCCCTCCCTCTGTCCAGAACTCAGCCACCAACCTCAACCCCAAGGACCACCAGAATCTTAAAGGAAAAACTTTCAGTCCTGGATTCCAGTCCTAACCCACATGACCTTGGAGCCTTTACCCCATCTGTAAAACAAAAGACTGCAATGAAAAAACTGGTCCCTTGAAGATACTTGTGTGTGTGTGTGTGTCTACATGTTTTACTCAAATTTGGAGGCAAACATGAAGGGGGCCATCTGCAGAGTCATTTGCAGTGACCCTAATAATGCAGGGTCCAGCCCCAGCAGGCACCCAGACCTAGGACTGGACAGCAAAACCCGGAAAAGCTCCCCAACCTTCTAGATTAGTTCCCAAACGTTCCAGAAACGGTTGAAAACACAGGCGTAATAGAGATTCCAGAGCTCCACCTTCAAAGGATCTGCTTCAGCGGGTCTCCAGGAAGACCCAGAACTCTACATTTATAGGGGACATTCCCAGGTAATTCTAGAGAGCCTGGGACCTACAAGGTCTCTCCCCTCATCTCCCACCTGCTTCCCTGTGAAAGCTTGTCAATGAGACAGGAGAAGCACCAGCAGCCCCCAGGAAGCCCGACACTGGAATACCTGGCTCCTCACGTTCCGCTGGGCCTCCCACCACCACCTCAAGCCAGCATCCAGTGGTTCAAGTGATCGCTCAGCCTTTTTTTCTTCCCAGCAGAGAACAGCAGACAAGGGAGACAGAAGTGGAAGAGCAGCTAGATGCCAGCACCACTGCCTGGTCTCTACCCCTTCTTTCCTCCCCTTTCCCAGCAACACCCCTGTGTCCCCAAGGTCACCAGAATCAGATGGAAACTGGGTTACATCACGGGACTGGAGAGGCAGCCTTTACTGGTCCTGCTGATAACATTAAGGTGCTGGCCTTGGCCAGTGTGGGGGAGGGGCAGAAACAGAGGGACTGGACTGACCGTTCACACCTCACAACCCGACACTAGCAGACAGGTGCTGGGAAACAGTTCTTTCTGAATCTCAAACTCTTGCTCTTACTCTTCTTTTTTGAGGGGGAGGGCGGGGGGGTGCAGGACCCCGGGGAAAACAGCGTCTTGCTCTTTTGTCCAAGCTGGAGTGCAGTGGGGCGATCACAGCTCACTGCTGTATCTGACTTCCAGGCTCAAAACATCGCCCCACCTCAGCTGCCTGAGTAGCTGGGACTACAGGTACATGCCGCCATGCCAAGCTAATTTTTTTTTTTTTTTGAGACAGAGTTTCGCTCTTGTTACCCAGGCTGGAGTGCAATGGCGCGATCTCGGCTCACCGCAACCTCTGCCTCCTGGGTTCAGGCAATTCTCCTGCCTCAGCCTCCTGAGTAGCTGGGATTACAGGCACGTGCCACCATGCCCAGCTGATTTTTTGTATTTTTAGTAGAGACGGGGTTTCACCATGTTGACCAGGATGGTCTCGATCTCTTGACCTCGTGATCCACCCGCCTTGGCCTCCCAAAGTGCTGGGATTACAGGCTTGAGCCACCGCGCCCGGCCGCCAAGCTAATTTTAAAAAAATTTTTCGTAGATACCGGGTCTCGCTTTGTTGCCTAAGCTGGTCTCCAACTTCAGGGCTCAAGCAATCCTCCTACCTCGGCCTCCCAAAGTGCTGGGATTACAGGCATGAGCCTTACTGCCCCAGCCTTCCCCCCTCTCTTTTTTCTAATACAAACTGGCAGATGATGGTTCCATCTCTATATTTAAATGTTTCTATTTTATTATTTATTTTAGTAGAGACAGGAGTCTGTCTTGCTTTGTTGTCTGGGCTGGTTTTGAATTCCTGGCCTCAAGCAATCCTCCCGCCTCAGCCTCCCAAAGTGTTGGGATTACAGGTGTGAGCCACCGAGCCTGGCCTCTTTTTTTTTCTTTTTAAGAGGCTTGAAAGTATATTTATTTCGATTTTTTTAAATCAAGGTATAACATATACAAGTGTGCAAATATTAACCACACAGCTTGATAAATACTTGATGTTTGTACATGCACTCTCAAGAGCAAGCTGTAGAGTGTTTCCAGAAAGCTCCCTCCAGCCTCCTCCCAGTCATAACTCCTAACAAGGACAGCAACTGTCCTTATTACCATGTTGTCATGTGGCCTGTTTTTGAATTTCACATAAACAGCATCACATAAAATGTACTCTTTTGTGTCTGGCTTCTTTCACTTAATAATAGTGAGCTTTTTAAAAAAAAGTGAAGGCTTTCAATGTTTAGAAATTCAACGACACTCTGTTATACAGGTTTTCTTTATTTTTTGAGACAGTTTCACTCTTGTTGTCCAGGCTGGAGTGCAGTGGCGCAATCTTGGCTCACTGCAACCTCCGCCTCCTGGGTTGAAATGATTCTCCTGCCTCAGCCTTCCAAGCAGCTGGGATTACAGGCGCCTGCCACACGCCCAGCTAATTTTTTGTATTTTCAGTAGTGATGGGTTTCATCATGTTGGCCAGTACGGTCTCAAACTCCTGATCTCAAGTGATCCACCCGCCTCGGACTCCCAAAGGGCTGGGATTACAGGCGTGAGCCACTGTGCCTGACTGCGCCCAGCCTATTAAACAGTTAATGAATATTATGGTCATAATATACTGCTATGGTTTGAATGTATCCTCCTCATTTCATGTGTTGGAAATTTAATCCCCAATGGGGCAGTACTGAAAGCTGGCTGTAGCCTGCAGCTGTAATCCCAGCACTTTGGGAGTCCAAGACCAGAGGATCACTTGAAGCCAGGAGTTCAAGACCAGCCTAGGCAACAAAGCCACAAACCATCTTTCGAGAAAATTAAAAACTAAAACATAAATTAGCTGGGCCTGGTGGTGCACTCCTGTATCCCAGCTACTCGGGAGGCTGAGGCAGGAGGATCTCTTGAACCCAGAAGGTGGACGCTGCAGTGAGCTGAGATCCCTCACTGCACTCCAGCCTGGCCGCAGAGCAAGCCTCTGTCAATCAATCAATCAATGTCTTGTCTGGGCCTAAATTTCCATTGTGTTAATGGAACAGAGAAAGTGGAAAAAGGTGAATGTAACTCACCGCTGGGAGGCCGGAACCCTGCCGGTGGCAGATGCCTCTTGTGTCCTCACCAGGTTGCCCTGCAATCACATGCTGCATCCTTCTTCCTGAAGCTGCCCCACGTGCCCCACCACGCAGCCACTCCGCGGGCTCCTTCAAGGGCGGCAGTATTGTCACATGTTCCAAAAGTGCCTCTCTCTGCCCTGCCCGCCTCGCCCTGTGCCCACCATGCTCCACGCGCTCCCACTGTGTGCTCCACCTCGCACCCGTGCGCCATCATGCTCTGCGTGCTCTTTAGGTGCCCCATCATGCACCGGGCTCCAACTACGTGCCCCTCCAATTACGTGCCCCACGGACGTGACCAATCATGCTTCGCAGGCTCCAGTTAGATGCCCCATCATGCCCCGCGCTCCAATTACGTACCCCACCTAACGCCCCACGCACTTGCCCCATCATGCCCTGCGCGCTCCCGTTACGTGCCCCACCTCACTCCCCTGCACGTGCCCAACGTGCCCTGCGTGGTCCCGTTACGTGCCCCGCCTCGCGCCCCTGCACGTGCTCCGTTATGTCCTATATGCTTCCATTACAGTCCCGACCTCCCGCCGTACCGCGTGGCCTCTGTAGTTCCAGAACTCGCAAGGGCCAGGGCTGTTGGTGGCGGTTGGAACGGAGTGATGAGTGCGTTCTCGCGGACCCGGAATGGAATGCCACCGTCAGGAGGGGTCGGCAGGGTATAAAAGGGCCTTCGTGACCGTCCCCCCACCCCAACAGAGTCACAGCCAGGGAGGGCAGCAGGGCACACCAGGCTGAAGGCTTACGCCACAGGGAGGGCAGCAAGGACATGGGGGGAAGCGCCTTAAACCAGGGAGTCCTGGAAGGGGACGACGCCCCCGGCCAGGTGAGGGCCCAGGCGCTTTGGGGCATCGACGCCTAGGAGTAGCCGGGTGGGTCCGCGGCTCTGAGGCCTGGCTTTCATTCTCCACTAGTCCCCCTACGAACGGTTGAGTCAGAGGATGCTGGACATTTCCGGGGACCGGGGCGTGCTGAAGGATGTCATCCGTGAGGGAGCTGGTGACCTGGTGGCGCCAGACGCTACGGTGCTAGGTATGCCCTGGGGTGATTTGTCGGCAGGATCCATGTCATCACACTCTGTTGGGGCCAGAGAGATCACGTTTTCGAAATGCATTAATGGGATTGAAAATGCTTTGTTTGAAGTGGATTTTTGTATTTTGTTTTTGAGACGGGGTCTTGCTCAGTTGTCCAGGCTGGAGTGCAGTGGTGTGATCATAGCTCACTGCAGCCTCCACCTCCTGGGCTCAAGCGATCCTCCAACCTCAGCCTCGCAAGTAAGGGATTTACAGGCCAATCCACTATGGCCAGCTAATTTTTAATATTTTTGTAGAGATGGGGGACTCTATGTTGCCCAGGCTAGTCTCAAACTCCTGGACCCAAGCGATCCTCCCACCTCAGCCTCCCCAGCAGCTGGGATTACTAGGCTGAGCCGCTACTTCCGGCCTGATTTTTTTTATTTTTATTTCTTTTTTTTAGGAAAGCCAGGGACCTCTATGTCCCTCAGCATGATGCCTCCCTGAAGCTCTGGAACCTCTGAGCCAAAGGGCAGACACCCAAAAATGCAGAAAGATTTATTCCTGTACCTCGGGGTGTCAAGCAGCTTGAGCTTACCTGATCGCATTGTTTCTGTGATGATGAGAGAAGACATTATGGAGGCGTGGGTATTTGGGGTCCATTTTGCTTACATTCTTTTTTTCTATTCTAGTAAAATACTCTGGATACCTGGAACACATGGACAGACCCTTTGATTCTAATTGCCATAGGAGAACTCCTAAGCTAATGAAACTTGGAGAGGGTAAATTCAGCGTGGGGCCTGGAAAAGATGGGATTGCTTAGGGGTGAGATGAGGCACGATGCTTCAGGCTGGGAAGACTGGTCAGAGCATAGGTTGAGTTGGCTTTCCTGAGGCTGGGTTTTGGTAAAACAGCTATGTTCTCTCCCCTTGAGACCTGGGTATTTGAGAGATGGCTTCACTAGGAAGGTATCTTTGCACTCTGACTTTAACCATTGGGAATGTTTCGTCATTCATTTATTAAGTAAAAATCGAGCGAATGCTTACTTCCCACAATACATGGTGAAAAGAGGATGTACTCAGGAGATTAGAACATCTCTACTCTTAAGGACTTCACGGTGTAGCGGAGGAGACCGGCCTATACTCGGTTCACTTAGTAGAACTGGATAGTGCCTGGGAGGTGATAGCAGTGTTGTGAGTATGCTTAATGAAGGTATGATCAATTCCAGCTGGGAGGTTCAGGGAAGCTTCCTGGAAGAGGGGCATTTGAGCTGAGCCCTGAAGTCCGAATAAAATTTCTATGAGTAGGAGCTGAGCACAGGCTAAGGAGGAAGACATTGCAGGAAGATACACATGTCTTGTGTGAGAGACATGGAGGCCAGAGTACTGCTGACTTACAAGGGGAAGAAGTGATAGCATTGAGCAGGATACTGAGCAAGCTTCAGCTACTGTCTTTGTCCCTTCTTACAGATATTACTCTGTGGGGCATGGAGCTGGGCCTTCTGAGCATGCGGAGAGGAGAGCTGGCCAGGTTTCTCTTCAAACCAACCTATGCCTATGGAACACTGGGCTGCCCTCCCCTGATCCCCCCAGACACCACCGTCCTGTTCGAGATTGAGCTGATTGACTTCCTAGACTCTGCTGAGTCGGACAAGTTTTGTGCTCTCTCAGCTGTAAGTTCCAGAGCACAGATGTCAGCACTTTAGAGAGAGGCAAATGGGTTGGTGTTCTTGGTAATTCTTCTAGATAGCCTGCCCCTGCTGTTGATGGTCTGCCCCAGGGTCCCCCACAGCTCCTGCACGGTGGTGGCAGTGGAGTTCCTCTGCTTCCTAGTCTGTGTTTGTCTCAGTAATGGTTCTCGTGTAGATGAATGTGCTGGGGCAAGGTAAGGCTGTGAGTTTAAGGATTCGTGTTTTGAACTGATTCTCCCTGTGAGCCAATGAACACTTGCTTTTCATCAATGTTTGGTTTCCAGTAAGGCAGGCATTGGTAGCTCATGACTAGGGTGACTGGATAATTGATTGTCCAACCCAGCACAGGTAGGAGTAAAGGGGGCTGTTAACTGGAGGGCTTACCCAGGACATCGGGTGTAAACTGGGACAATCCCAGGCAAACTGGGATGTGTGGCCACTGTCCTCACCACGGAAGTCTTGCCTCCTCTTCATTTAACCCTGTCCTGTAGATGCAGGCTTCTGACCCCGTCAGCAGTCACATGCACTGTCTTTATCATGCTTCTCACGCTGACTCTCTATGTGGCCTTAGATGTTCATCCCAGGTTTTGTATCTTCACGTGGTGTCTCCCCAGATAAACTATCAGCACTCCAAGTGAGGGAGCTCACTCTTTTCCATCCTTCCAAAGATTAGAGTTTCTTGCAGATGCCTGGTCCCACGTGTGGTGCACTGATTTAGGATCTGTGGGGGTGGGGCCGGGACCAAAGCGGCTCTATAGGTGACTCTGAAATGGCCAGGGTAGAGCATCATGACCATAAAGACCACCAGGGCCCTGAGCAAACCAAGACCTGTTCAGTGCTTGGTGGCCAAATGGTGGTTTCAAGCACTGACTTCTCTGCTTGCACATTCCATCATTTTTAGTTCTGTGGGATTCTGCTTCCTCAGAGACTTTTGGGGAAAGACTAAAGAAGTAGACTTTCCAACATGGTGAAACCCCGTCTCTACTTAGAATACAAAAAAAAAAAAAAAAGCCAGGCATGGTGGCAGGTGCCTGTAATCCCAGCTACTCAGTAGGCTGAGACAAGAGAATTGCTTGAACCCGGCAGGCAGAGGTTGGGGTGAGCTGAGATTGCACTATTGCACTCCAGCCTGGGAGACAAGAGTGAAACTTCATCTCGCAAAAGAAAGAAAAAAAAAAGTAGACATGTTCGCACTGTGTTGCCCAGGCTGGTCTCGAACTCCTGGCTCATGCGTACTAACACTTCCACCGTGGTGTTGGGGCTTTTGGTCTCCTTGCTGAGTATTCCTGTCTCTGATCCTCAGGAGCAACAAGACCAGTTTCCACTTCAGAAGGTCCTTAAAGTGGCAGCTACAGAACGGGAGTTTGGCAACTACCTTTTCCGCCAAAATCGTTTCTACGATGCCAAAGTGAGATATAAAAGGGTGAGAATGCTTTGAAAGTTAAGTGTGGGTTTAGACCCTGAAAACTTCCTTGTTTTTTGTGTATCTCCCTACTTTTCATGAGCAGCAATTAAGAAAAATCTCATCTTTATAACTCGATCAAGACAGTTGAGGGTGAGCAAAAAAAAAAAAAAAGAAAAGAAAAATCTCATTTTAAAAAACCCTCATGCCCCGCAGAGGCCCATGGATCAGGAGTTTGAGGTCAGGAGTTTGAGACCAGCCTAGCCAACCTGGCAAATCCTGTCTCTACTAAAAATATAAAAATTAGCCAGCATGGTGGTGGGAGCCTGTAGTCCCAGCTACTTGGGAGGCTGAAGCAGGAGAATCGCTTGAACCCAGGAGGCGGAGGTTGCAGTGAGCCACTGCACTCCATCCTGGGCTACAGGGCAAGATTTTGTCTCCAAAAAAAAAAAAAAAAAAAATCATACACACACACACATAAACGCATGTATGCCCTCTGTGGAACATACTCACATAGGCCAAATGTGGCTGACCCTGTCACCCAATATCTATTCCCCCTTCTCCTAACAGAACCTCCCAATTCATTCAAAGCAGCAGTGTACCAATTAAAAAATGATATCTTCCCAGCTTCCCATGAGCTAACGGCGTCTGTGTAACAAGGGTCTAGCCAAGGAGACATAAAGGGAAACCTCTGGAGGGCCTTCTAGAAAGATCTTAACATAACACAAGCACCAGGCTCTTCTCCCCTCCCTCCTTCCTGCCAGGTGACCACACAGTGCATCGTCAGGTGGAACTCTCCCTGGGGCCTGCCACACAGCTCTTGTGACGGGGCTCCCCTGTAATGCTAGTTTGTGGATTTCCTGTTTTTTTTTTTTTTTTCTCAGCTTACTTCTTTGTTTTAAGACAGTATGTCAATGTATGTCTAAAATATTCTAGTTATTTAAATAAAGATTTGTCTAGTGTTGTTATCAAGAAGTCTTTTGTCCAGGCGTGGTGGCTCATGCCTGTCCCAACACTTTGGGAGGCCAAAGCGGGTGGATCGCCTGAGATCAGGAGTTTGAGACCAGCCTGGCCAATGTGGTGAAACCTCATGTCTACTAAAAATACAACAATTAGCCAGGTATGGTGGTGGATGCCTGTAATTCCAGCTACCCGGGAGGCTGAGGCAGGAGAATTGCTCGAACCCAGGAGGTGGAGGGCACAGTGAGCCAAGACCATGTAATTATACTCCAGCCCAGGTAACAAGACTGAAACTCTCTCTGGGGGAGACAGAGAGGGGGGAAAAAAAAAAAAAGAAGGAAAAAAAGTCTTTTTAGTTCTGATCTCAAAATCTTAAAAAAAAAAAAAAAATCTTATTACCACTTAAGATTCTATTTCTTTCAATGTGACCTGTTTTTTCCGCTGTAGAGACGAAGATCCCTAAATTTTACAGCGACGTGCCTTTGTGTGTGTATTTTTAAATTTTTGTTGAGCCCATGAGTGTATCTTTTCAGGAAACTATTCCTCCACTCTGGGAGGGCAACTTCCTTGAGTTATTTCTTTGATAATTTACTCTCGTTCCCTCCACCCTCTTTGTCTGAAACTCCTGTGGTCAGAGCTCCTGCATTGAGCTTCTGGCTGTTTTTTTTGTTTTGCTTTTGTTTTTGTTTTATTGCCTCCTCCCAGTTTCCATCTTTTCTCCTGTTTGTTTCATTGTCTGGAAGCTTTCCTTGACTTTTTGCTACCTCTTTGGTGAATTTTTCTTAAAAACTGGGGGACGAGGGTTGTGGTAGCTCACACCTATAATCCCAGCACTTTGGGAGTCCAAGGTGGGAGAATTGCTTGAAGCCAGGAGTTAAAGATCAGTCTGGGCACCATAGCAAGATCTCATCTCTACAAAAAGAATTAATTTTAGAAAATGGAGGGCCTCTTTGTTCTTCTCCCCAGCATTCTGTTCTGGTTTCATGCATATATTATTTTATCTCTTTAGACTGTTGATTATCATTTAATCTCATTCTTTTTCTGTTTTTTCTATATATTGGGGTCTATGTCCTTTTGCACTGAGTTTGTCAACAACCTAAAGATGGTTTATTTCTCTCTCATGTGAAAGGCTAGAGGCATGCAAGCCAGGGCCGGTCGGTCGGTGGCCTTGCTCCAGATGTTTTCACATACCCAGTTCTCATTTCTTGGGTGGGACTCTGGCCTTGTGGTCCAGGATGAGGGTCTCTGAGTTCTAGCAGCAGAAGGGAAGAAAGGCTGGGGACACGTACCACTCTGTTAAGGAAGGCTCTTGTCATATGACGCTTCTACTGAGTTACGTTTTCCAGAACCTGTTCTCCAGGCCTTGCTTAGCTGCGAAGAAGGCTAGCAAGTATCTGTATTCCAGTTGTGCATGTTCCTGGCCAAAAAAATATATAGTCCCATTACTCTGAAGGAAGGGAGAGCCGCTGCTGGGAGACAGGAGGCCATTTCTTTCACAGAGGCTTTCCTCAAATGGCTGGTGATCTTTGACCACTAAGATTTGAAAGAGACATCACAGAGCTGATTGGAAATGCCAGGTGCTTGCCAAGGCAGGTGGCAGTGTGGTCAGAGAGAGACTGCACACGTCAGAGTATGCAGGTGTTGCCTCCGTGTCCACCGAGTCCTCTTTCCGCCCCGTGTACATGCCGAGGCTCCAGAGGTTCTCACTGTCTGCGATTGACATTCCTTTTCATAGCCCTGTTACCAGCATACCACCTTCCTGTCGTCCGCTCCAGTCTGTCTCCTAATCAAGGGCCTCTTTGGTTCCATTTCCCCAGAAAGTAGATCTTGTGATTCCTGAGGCCATCTAGACGCATAGGGGCAGTGAGTAGGGGAAGCATTTGACCTGACCTCCTTTACTCAGCCCCACCAGATAGCTCTAACTCCTGCTTCCATCAGTTCCTAGGGCTCTCCAGGTGCTGAGGGGCAGATCAGTCCCTTTTACACTGGCACCACTCTGCCGAGTCAGTCATCACACTGCCGCCCATCTGACCCCTTGGGTTTGGTGTCGGTCCTTTTCCTGTCCTTTGCTCATGTTGGAGTACTACCTGTCTTAGTCCCTTCGAGTTGGAGAAGGCAGGCATGCGTGTGAAGCCTGCCTTGCTGAGCCACAGGTTTTGCATTTCTTTTCCTAGTGGAACGTTTCTCAGTCTTCGGAGCAGCAGACTGACATTGATTGAGCTCCATTGTGTCTCCAGCCTTTTGCTCAGCATTGTCGGGATCACACAAGAAGTATTGGGGTTCATGTTTTCAAGGGATTTGAATCTAGTTGGGGAGATAAAATGCAGCTCAAACTGCTCACCAATATCTGTGGTCTGAATGTTTGTGTCTCCCCAGAATTTGTATGTTGAAGCCTAATTATCGATGTGATGGTGTTAGGAGAAGGGGCCTTTGGGAGGTGATGAGGTCATGAGGATGGAACCCTCATGAATGGAGTTAGTGGCCTTCTAAAAAAAGGTCCCCGAGAGTTGTCTTGTCCCTTCTGCCATAAACCCTCGGCAGGAAAAAAGATGAGCAAAGGTACAGAAGTGATCAGAGCCTATTCAGGGCACAGTTGGTAGATTCCTAGTCAGAAACATGTGTTATATCTAAGGAATAGCAGGTAATAGGAGGTGGCCAGATTCAGGAAGACATTCAAATATGTGTGGATGAATTTGGACTAGATGAAGTGGATGGCAGGGAACCACTGAGGAAGAGTGAGTTGATAAAAGTCATGTTTGGGGAAGAACCAGTGGTTGTGCTGGAGCTCGTGAAAACTCAAAATTTCAGTTATAAAATTTTCAGGAGTTGTGTGTCCTGGTTAATGTCACTTTGGAAGCTTGAAACCGGCTCTGGTAGAAGTATTTACAGCACAGGAATAGGCAAGTGCTACAAAGCAGGGCTCCACCTCCCCCCAGAGCTGGCTGTTCAGCATGTACCGGCACACCACTGCGTGCAGGACAGGTCAGACGGCAGACTTCACTTCCGTGGGGATCTGTTTTACGTTGGGCATTGAGCTGGGCATGCTGCGGCTAAACCTGTTAACAGGATCCAGGAATGTATTATAGCAGCTGTGAATTGTGCAACTAGAAAAAGCTCTGCAAGCACTTCCACAAAACAAATGGTTAGACTTGATGCGATTTTATATATAAGTGATCAAGGAAAAAGAAGAATGGAATTACTTGAAACTTCCTGGTCTGAGAAAAAAAATTAAACCAAGGCATAACTGGGAAAGAAATATGTTGCTTTCAATTTTGATTACTCATGGGAATGGCCAGGTAAGCGGGACCTGTAGAAGACTGTTTCCAGGTGACAACTTGTGTCACAATTTCATTTAGGTACCAGAGCAGGGTTCAGGCCTGAGGTTCCGGCTGGCGTGAACAGGAGCTGAATCCACTCAGAAGGTGTGGAGACAGTTGGTGGAAACTTGCCTAGTGAACGCCCAGAGCTTAAGAGATGGAAGACCAAGGAAGGCTCATGACTTTCTGCTGTGCTGCCATCTCCTGACACACTTCCAGTTCTTTTGTTTGTTTGGTTGGTTGGTTGGTTGGTTGTTCTCAAGACAGAGCCTCTCTCTCTTGCCCAGGCTGGAGTGTTCTGTCATGATCTCGGCTCACTGCAACCTCCGCCTCCCAGGTTCAAGCAATTCTCCCGTCTCAGCCTCCCAAGTGGCTGGGATTACAGACGCGTGCCACCATGCCCAGCTAGTTTTTGTATTTTTAGTAGAGATGGGATTTCATCATGTTGGCCAGGCTGATCTCAAACTCCTGACCTCAAGTGATCCACCCGCCTCGGCCTCCCAAAGTGCTGGGACTACGGAACTGGCCTTCCAGTTCTTCCGTTCTACTTGCACCTTCCAAATGGGGTCCCAGGGCAGGCTCTGCCTTCTTCATCCACTTTTTGTTTTACTATTTTTTTGTTGTTGAGATATGATTCGCATACCATAAAATGTGTGCTTTTAAAGTGTCCAATTCTGCTGGGCACAGTGGCTCACGCCTGTAATCCCAGCACTTTGGGAGGCTGAGGCAGGTGGATCACCTGAGGTCAGGAGTTCAAGACCAGCCTGGCCAACATGGTGAAACCTTGTCTCAAAAAAAAAAAAAAAAGATAAAGTGTCCAATTCTGTGGTTTTTAGTATATTCACAAGGTTGTGCAGCCATCCCCACTGTCTAATTCTGGAACATCTTCCTCACCCCGAAATGAAACTTGCAATTCTTTGGCTCCAGATAACCCCTGTTCTCTTTTGTTTCTATGGATTTGCCTATTCTGGACATTTCATTTAAGTAGAATTGCCAAATATGTGCCATTTGGTGGTTGGCTCCTTTGACTTAGCATGTTTTCGAGGTTCATCCATGTTGTAGCATATACAAACCTCATTCTATGTTTTGCTTTTTGAGACGGAGTGTCTCTCTGTTGCCCAGGCTGGAGTGCAATGGCATGATCTCAGCTCGCTGCAACCTCCACCTCTCGGGTTCAAGCAATTCTCCTTCCTCAGCCTCCCAAGTTGCCAGGATTATGGGTGCCTGCCACCACACCTGACTAATTTTTGTATTTTTAGCAGAGACGGGGTTTTGCCATGTTGGCCAGGCTGGTCTTGAACTCCTGATCTCAGATGATCTGCCTACCTCAACCTCCCAAAGTGCTAGGATTACAGGCGTGAGCCACCATGCCCGGCCCCTCCTTCTTTTGTAAGGCTGCTCTTCCATCAAATGGCTGTGCTGTTTGTCCATTCATCAGTTGGACATGTGGGTTGTTTCCATGTCGTGATTATGATGACTGATGCAGTGAGCATTTACGTACAAGCTGTCGTGGGAACGTATGTTTCCAGTTTTCTTGGGTATGTGCCTAGGAGTACAATTGCTGGTTTGTGTGGGAACTATCAAAATTGTTGAGGAACTGCCAAACCGTTTTCTACAACAGCTGTACCATGTCACATTCCCACCAGTAATGTGCGAAGCTTCCAATTTCTCCACTTCTTCACCAACACTTGTTTCATATTTTTAAAGTTGGGGCCGTCCTACTGGGTGCGAAGTGGTGTCTCACTGTGGTTTTGATTTTCAATTCCCAGATGACTAATGAAATTGGACATATTTTCATGGATTTAATGATTATTTGTCTATCTTTGGAAAAATATTCAGATTCTCTGCATATCTGAAAGTTGGGTCACTTATCTTTCTATTGAGTAGTAAATATCGTTTATGTGCTCTGGATACTAGACCCTTATCAAATAAAGGATTTGCAAAAGCTCTATGCTGTCTGTTCACTTTCTTGGTAATGTCCTTTGAAACACAAAAGTTTTAAATTTTGATGAAGTCTTACTTCTTTGGTTATTTTTGCTTTTTGTGTTTAAGAAACCATTTTCTAATGCAGGGTCACAAAAATTTACATCTACGTGTTCTTCTAAGAGTCGGATAGTTTTTTAAAAAAATAAGAAATGCTTCATGAATTTCCATGTCATCTTTGCACAGTGGCCGTGCTGATCTTCTCCCTGTTTTTCCAATTTTTAGTATATGTGCTGCTGAAGCGAGCAGAGTCTAAGTTGTAACTCTTTTAGGGCTATGCTTCACTACAGTTAATTTTTATTTTATTTATTTATTTTTGAGACAGTTTTGCTCTTGTTGCTCAGGCTGGAGTCCAATGGCACAATCTCAGCTCACTGCAATCTCTGCCTCCCGGGTTCAAGAGATTCTCCTTCCTCAGCCTCCCCAGTAGCTGAAGTTACAGGTGCACACTGCCACACCTGGCTAATTTTGTAATTTTAGTGGAGACAGAGTTTCACCATGTTGGTCAGGTTCGTCTTGAACACCTGACCCCAGGTGATCCGCCCACCTCGGCCTCCCAGAGTGCTGGGATTACAGATGTGAGCCACCGTGCCCTGCCTACTGTAGTTAATTTTTGCATATATTGTAAACATTCTTCTGCATGTTGATAGCCTCTCATCCCAGTATTATTTGTTGAAAGGACAGTTCTTTTCTCTCATTGAATGGTCTGGACGCCCTTATTGAAAATCAGTTGACTGTAGATATATAAATCTATTTCTGGACTCTTGGATTTCATTGATCTACATATCTGTACTTGTGCTATACTGGCTTAATTACTGTAGCTTTAGGAAGTTCTGTTTTTTTTTTTTTTGTCTTTTAGTACGTTTTGAAATTGGGAAATATGAGTTCCCCAGCTTTGTTTTTTCTCGAGAGTATTTTAGCTATTCAGGGTCCCTTGAGTTTCCATATGACTTTTTTTTTTTTTTTTTTTTGAGTTGGGGTCTTGCTTTATTACCCAGGCTGTAGTGCAGTGGTATCTTGGCTCACCACAACCTCCGCCTTCCAGGTTCAAGTGATTCTCCTGCTTCAGCCTCCCAAATAGCTGGGATTATAGGAACCTGCCACCCCGCCTGGCTAATTTTTGTATTTTTAGTGGAGACAAGGTTTCACCATGTTGGCCAGCTGGGTCTCCAACTCCCGATCTCAGGTGATCCGCCCGCCTCAGCCTCCCAAAGTGCTAGGATTACAGACATGAGCCACTGCACCCAGCCTCCGTATGAATTATCTAATCAATTTGTCTGTATCTACAAAAAAGGCTGTTGAAATTTTGGTAGGGTTGCATGAGTATGTTGACCAGTTGGGGAAATATGACCACTTTAAGTCTTCCAGTTAATGAACATGCGTTGTTTTTCCATTTTATTTGGATCATCTTTAATTTCTTTCAACAACATTTTGTAGTTTTCAGTGTGCAAGTCTTTCACTTGATTTAAGGTTATTGCTACTTTATTTTTTGATGCTATTGTAAATGGACTTGTTTCCTTAATTTCATTTTTGGATTGTTCGTTGCTAGAGCATAGAAATATAGCTGACTTTTTATGTTGATCTTATGTCTTACAACCTGTTAGAGCTGATTGTTAGCTCTGATCGTTTTTGTGTGTGGATGCTTTGGGGTTTTGTACATAGACTGTTACTCCTCTTGACAGTCTGTCTACCTTCCCTCTCCGCAGGCCCTGTTGCTTCTGCGCCGGCGATCTGCACCCCCTGAAGAGCAGCACCTCACGGAGGCTGCCAAGCTTCTTATTCTCCTCAACCTGTCCTTTACATACCTGAAGCTAGACCGACCCACCATAGCCCTACGCTATGGAGAACAGGCTTTGATCATTGACCAAAAGAATGCTAAGGCCCTCTTCAGGTGTGGACAGGTGAGCTGGAAACCAGTGACCTGGGAGCAAATAGCCAGGAAGAGGTGGTAGCCGTGCTCAACTGAGCTACTGCAAAAATGCTGTCTTTTTCTTTTGTGTGTGTGTGTGTGATGGAGCTTTATTCTCGTCACCCAGGCTGGAATGTGCAGTGGCACAAATTTGGCTCGCTGCAACCTCCACCTCCTGGGTTCAAGCAAATTTCCGGCCTCAGCCTCTCAACTAGCTGGGATTACAGGCATGCACCACCAGGCCCAGCTAATTTTTGTGTTTTTATAGAGACGGGGTTTTGCCACGCTGGTCTCAAACTCCTGACTTCAGTTGATCTGCCCGCCTTGGCCTCCCAAAGTGCTGGAATTATGGACATGAGCCACAGCGCCCAGCCAAATGCTGCCTTTTCTGTGCTTTTAAAGTTCTTTCTTTGTGACAGGCTTGTCTTCTTCTGACTGAGTATCAGAAGGCCCGGGATTTTCTAGTTCGAGCCCAGAAGGAGCAGCCCTTCAATCATGACATCAATAATGAGCTGAAGAAACTGGCCAGGTGAGCTGTGTTTGCAGGAGCGTGAGGAGAGGAGATGGATGTGGTTGTGACTCTGGTCTGCCCAACAGGGTAAGCGACGGTCTGGTGGTGATGCCCAAGGCATGAGGAGGCAGCCCCTCTACAGCTGGGTTTCTGAAGTGCTCGGTGGTGCCCTGCACCAGCAGTTCCCAGCAAGGAGGTGGGACACACGGCCAAACCTCACGTCTCCATCATTGCCCACCTTTGTTTCCCCTATCGAAAATAAGCACCCCCTAGAGGGGCAGGAGGATGTCACTTTGTTTGTTTGTTTTGTTTTGTTTTGTTTGTTTTTTTTTTGAGACGGAGTTTCGCTCTTGTTACCCAGGCTGG